GAGGGAGAGGGAGAGCGAGAGACAGAGAGAGAGAGAGAGAGAGAGAGAGAGAGAGAGAGAGAGAGAGAGAGAGAGAGAGAGAGAGAGAGAGAGAGGGATAGAGAGAGAGAGAGAGAGAGAGAGAAAACAATAAACCGAGAGAGAGGGAGAGCGAGAGAGAGAGAGAGAGAGAGAGAGAGAGAGATAGAGAGAGAGAGAGAAAAAGAAAGAGAGATGGAGAGAGGACGAGAGATGGAAAAAGGGAATAGAAAGGGCGAGATCATGAGGGCGGAAGCGGCGGGGGGGACGGGCCAGGCAGGGGAGGGATGGGGGGGGAGGGAGAATACCATATCAGTGCGTCCTCTTTTGGACAGGATTTGGCAGTTTGGGCCGCCCCATTTCTACTCGACATTCGTGGACGAGAGCCTCAATTGTTTGGTCCGAAACTTGGCCCAAAGAGCTCACAGGAGGACACTTTCGATATCGATCCACCGCAATATCAAGACCATCGGTGCTCTGGGTCGATCTCGTGTGATTTATGGCAAACCGTTCGAGTTCGACGGTGTCAAGCGCTCCTACGACAGGTGTTGGCAATGGGGTCCCCCAGTGGATCTATGACCGAGCGCGGGCCATCTTCCCCGACTATAAGAATGACTGGAAGTTGAGCTCCAGCAACGGCGGCGCCCTTTTGGCGGCCGCCAAGGCCGAGGTGGCATCGTGGATTGCAGCGCCAAGCTCTCGAGCGCCCTCTCGGACGCTCGACTGCTTCGAGGTGTGTTGCGGCAAGGCTGGCATCACCCGCGCCCTCCTGGATTTGAACATGCAGTCTCGCGGTTTCGATCGGTTCGGGGGTGAAACTAATTGTTGACAAGGGGCTCTACCTTGCCAATCTAGGGGGTGCTTCGAATGCGATCGGCCCCGCGCGTGGCCCACTTGGCTCATCTTGAGAGGGGGGTGACCTGGCGTTCGAGGGCCTGCCCGGTTTGGCCCACCTGGGCCACTCTATGAGCGGAACTGCGGGAGTGTTAGCAAACCCCATCGCCCCTCCTCCTAATCCTCCACGGCACTCCCTCCTCCTCCTCCTCCTCCTCCTCCCCCTCCTCCTCCTCCTCCTCCGCTTCATCCTCTACGGCTTCCTACTCGTCGTCGTCGTCGTCCTCCTCCTCCTCCTCCCTCTCCTCCTCCCTTACGATTGCCAATGCTCCTCCTCCTCCTCCTCCTCCTCCTCCTCCTCCTCCCCCCCTCCCACCGCCGCAATTCCCCCCCCCCCCCCGCGTTTGCGTGCGCGGCCCCCCCTGCCGCGTAAAATAAAGCCCCTCCCCAGGCTCACATCTCACGTATCTGAAGACCTGTGCCGCTTCCCTGGGATCCTAGCGGCTGCTTTCGGGGTGTTGCAAGTGAGGAAGGGCGGCACGGCCGTCTTCGAGCCGCAGTGCTCCACTTGGGGCAACATGGCCGCCCATCACACCAAGCGCCGCCGCGTGGGCAACTTGCACGGCGACTCCTCGAGAGTGGACGTTATGGAGGCGAATTTCTGTGCTGAGGTGGTGTCGCTGCCTCAACATATCTGGTGGGAGGAGGTCCAATGAGGAGCGGCGGGAGAGGGGGGCGGGTTGGGGGGGGGACGAAGGACAGAGTACAGGAGGAGTGAGGAGGAGGCGAAGGACAGTGTATAGTGAGGAGGAGAGTACAGCCCGCCGCTCAGATCCCAGCGGGCCCTTGAGCTGTCGCGTAGCCCAGCCCATGCCCAACGTCCAACGCTTCTACCTCGCCTCCCTCCCGCCTCCTCCACCACCTCTCCCGCCCCCCGCCCCCGCTCTCCTCTTACGGATGCGAGCGCGGCCCGAGGTCTTGGCTGCTCGAGCTTGCTGACAGCCGCAGGACCAAGATCCTCTTGGAGAATCCCGTGGGCAGCATGCTGTTTCTCGTTCCCTGCATGCAGGACCGCGGGCGGGGGTCGGGGCGGCGTCAGCCATGGTCGCGCCAGCGGCCGCCGCGCGAGAACGAGCTATCGATTGGTCGAGCGATCGGGCGAGCCATGCGAAGATGGGCCCTTGTCCTCCCCCTCCGTCCCTCCCCCTCCCTGCGCTTCCGTCTCCTCCCCTCCCCCCCCCCCCCCCCCCCCCCTCCCATCCTACTCCTCGCCCTGTCCTTTCTCTTCCTATTCCTCATCCTTGGTCATCCTTCCTGCTCCTCATCGTGTGTAACATATGCTACTGCTCATCCCCATCGGCCCTTCCTCCCAATCCCTCCCCCCCCTCGCCCTCCCCCCGCGCGCGGCCGTCGTTGCGAATTTAGCGTTCAGGACCCCTGACATCCCCCCCACCATTCCCCTCCTGCGCCTTTCGCCACCCACGGAACCCTGATCCCCCCCCTCCTCCCCTCCTCCTCCTCCTCCTCCTCCTATCCTTCTCCTCCTCCGCCTCCCTCCTCCACCTCCTCCGCCTCTCCTCCTCCTCCTCCTCCTCCTCCTCCTCCTCCTCCCCCCTCCTCTCCTCCTTCTCCTCCTCCTCCTCCTCCCCCATCCTCCTCCTCCTCCTCGTCCTCCTCCTCCTCCTCCTCCTCTTCCTCCTCCTCCTCCTCCTCTTCCTCCTCCTCGCCAGGAGGCTCTGATGCGGACCCTCGCCTTTGCCTTCACCACCTACCTGGGTTACTTCGGCAGCGACACGCTGAAGCCCGTCACGCTGTGGACTACCCACGCCCGTGAGCCCGCGCTTTTTTTTTGCAAGTTGGGAAGAATGAGGCAATATCTAGTATGACTGCCAGGGGACATGTCTCGGCGCTGTATTTCATGCAGGATAGGTCGAAGGGCCGCTCCACGGAGGGCTGGGGCTCTAAGCCATGGGTCACGGGCAACAAAAAGGCCAGTGCCATGAGGCGCTCAGAGGAGTACCCGTCAGAGTTCTGCGAGGCTGTGGCAACGCTCGTAATCAACGACCTGGCCTAGGTTTGCAGGCAACACAGAAATCATATACGAGTTTTGTGTCCCTGGTGCCGTTCCAAACCTTGAACTGGTTCAAACACGTTTCCGTGTCGCAGGCCCCGCGCAGACCTGGGCCGGTCAGTTTCAAGCCGCGGCCGCATTGCCGCCCCGAGCGTTTCGCTTCGCTGGCTTCTCCCCCGCCTCAGCTCATCATCGGCTGCTCGTGCCCCGCGCTCTCAGGGGGTCTTCGAATCGCACCCCCCCTCGGGCACCCCTGGTATCGCTCTCTCTTCGAAGCCCCCGTCATGACGGATAGAAGCGGTAGCGCGGAGTAAGGCGAGCAGGGGGGAGGGCGGGAGCACCGCGGCACGGGTGAGAGAAGGGGGCAGTGGGGGAGAGGCAGAGGGGGGCGCATAACATCACAGCTGCAATAGTTTGGCCAAGAGCGCCTCCCCCATCCTTACTCCGCTAGCTATGCAATTCGCGACCTGGTCGAATTCGAACCGCGGCGGGCCCGCTGCGCGAAGTTCTGACGTGCTCCCCGCCATCTCCTTGCTATCTTTCTCCCTCCTGTTACTTCCATTCCTGTTCGGTCTTTCCCCCTCCTCCATCTGCCCCCTCCCCCAATGACCCGCCCCCGCTGGGGAATGCCAGGAGAGGAAGGGGGGTCCACGCTCTACCCTCGCCTCTTCGCTGGCGGGCTGGCCTCGGGCCCCGCACCCGCCGCCCTCGGATCTGCTCGCCGTGGAAGGGTCGAGCTCGCGAGGGAATGGGAAGAAGGGCAACGGGGGTAGGGTGGGAAAGAGGTGGAGTACGAGGGTGGAAACGAGAGGGAGGAGGAGGGGTAAAGGAGGAGGCGGAGGACGAGGAGAAAGCACATATGAGGGGTATATAGAGATTTTTAAATAAAAAAATAGGGAGGAATAGAGAGAGAGAGAGAGAGAGAGAGAGAGAGAGAGAGATACAGACAGACAGACAGACAGACAGACAGAGAGAGAGAGAGAGAGAGAGAGAGAGAGAAAGGATGCGGCCTGATTCGCAACCTAGCACCGTCGGCATGGGCGTCAGCCGCAGAAAAATGCGGGCTGGCGAAAGCAGGGGCCCCTGCTCCCTCTACCTCCCTCCCTCCTCGACGGCGGTCGTCGGTCGTCGTCGTCGGTCGTCGGTCGTCGTCCGTCGGCCGTCGTCGTCGCCCGTCGTCGACGTCCGTTGCCGTCGTCGTCGTCGACCGTCGCCCGTCGTCGTCGTCGGTCGTGGCCGGTCGTCGTCGGTCGTCTTCAGCCGTCGTGGGTCGTCGTCGTCGTCGGACGTCGGTCGCCAGTCGTCGTCGGTGTCCGTCGTCGTCCGTCGTCGTCGTCGTCGTCGGCTCGATCAAACTCGGGCTCAGACTGGAGCTACGTGAGCTCAGACCGCTGGGCCCAGACTGGAGGAGGGGGATGGGCGACCGAGGCTCGGACTCTCCAGATCGTCGCGAGGCAGGGCGGAGGAAGAATACGAGAGGCAGGAGGACGCGAGGACGAGGCCGATGAGGGACATACAGGGAGGAGGAGGAGGAGGAGGAGGAGGAGGAGGAGGAGGAGGAGGAGGGGGAGGAGGAGGAGGAGGAGGAGGAGGAGGAGGAGGAGGAGGAGGAGGAAGAGGAGGGACACGAAGATCAAAGGGGCCTGCACTGGCCACGTCGTGGGCCCCCGACACAGGGGGAAACCCGTCCGAGGGCATGCGTATGGCCCTCCTCCAGTCCTCCACATTCCCTCCTCCAGTCTTCCCTCCTTCCTTCTACAGTCCTCCACCATCCCTCTTCTCTAGTCTCCCAGTTCTCCCTTCCGCCGTTCCTCCACCTTCCCCTCCTTCCTCCTCCATCCTCCCCTCTAGCGTGCTCGGTTGTTGCAATAATGGTGTTGCGTTGGAATTCCACGGTCTCCTACATATGCTTGCCGATGGTCTTGCATCCTTTCGTGCCCGTGGTTTTGCATCCTTGCTGGCATCCTTGCACGTGCGCTCCGTGGCCATCATCACTGGCCCGAGCAGTGTTGTTTCTTAGGGCTTCCGCCCTCGAGTCGCGCCTCGGCCAGCCAGTCGGCTGCCCCTCGAGCCCGCGATGCCCGTCCTGAATTCCCCTCGGTGCATGCAGGGGAACGCGTGGGACGAGAGCCCCCAGGGCCGCGACCATGTCAAGATGCACGTGCTCCTGCCGTCAGCGGGCACGTGGCTCGTCGTCGACTTGGCCAAGGACTCCGCCATTATGCCCAGTGGTTTCGCCGACGCCGCCGCGGGCGCGATGTACGTCAAGGTGTCCAGCATCAGGGCGGAGCTCCAGGCGCGGCTCAGCATGTTCAAGCAGAAGGAGATCGTGATCCACAAGTGCAGCGCGGAGCAGCCGCGCGGACGGGAGCTCGCCGACGACGACGGCGTGTACTACTTGACGTGGCTCGTCGCCGATACTCGTGAGGCGGTGGCGGCAGCAGTGGATTGGGTGAAGACCGAGCCGCGCCTGAAGTGGAACTACCAACCGCCTACGGACCATACTGGTAGCCACGTCATGCAGGTGCTTGTGTTCACCGAGCCGACGGCGACGTGGAGCGAAGTATTCGTCCCAGACTTCGCTGCGTTCACTAACGCGGCAGCGTCTTCGACAGCGCAGGACTTGAAGCTCGTCATCCTTTCGGCATTCGAGCCTATTTGTGTGAACGGAGTCGCGTGGAAGTTCGGCGTCGACGATCTGGAGATCACGAACTGCCAGGGCAGCCACCCCGACGGGGACCAGCTGGGAGACAAGCACCACCTCATCAACGGGAAGTGGTACTACGTGACAGCGAACCGCTTGCTGGAGCAGCTCGAGGTGCAGGACCAGATCGAGGCGGCGGCCGACGACGTGCAATGAGAAGCTCATGTATCTAATATTTCGTCCGCGAGGCCATTTTTTACGGGCAGCCTGATTTCGCTGGAGCCTGGGCTCCATGCGCCAGTTAACTATGCGCTGATATATCTGCGCACCCGACGGCTGTTCGAACGACCCCGCGCCTGCGGTGCCTGCAGCGAGCTCAAGACATAAACATAACAAATAGTTAAATGTATATTCGAATACGCCTGCGGCGTCTCGCCGACGCCCCCTGCCCTTTGGAAATATATTGGGCCGTCTTGGAGCCCTTGGACTCCCTTGGGCCGTCTTGGACTCCCTTGGGCCGTCTTGGACTCCCTTGGGCCGTCTTGGAGGCCGCGTTGAATAATCTTGTTTTTAAATCCTGCCGTCCTTGCCTCAACTCCTCCTCTGTCGCTCTCCCTCTCCTCCCCCCTCGCTCTCGCCTGCTGCGCCTCGCCGACCACGGCGACCGACCACCGACGACCGACGAAGACGACGACGACCACCGAGACGACGACGACGACGACGACGACGAGGATCGACGATCACATGCGCGACAACGCAATAACGACGTACGACGGCGACGACGACAACAGCGAAAACGACGACGAGGACCGACACGACGACGACGACGACAACCGAGGAGCGGGCGAGACGACGGCGACTGCGACGGACGGACGGTGGACGAGAGAGGATGAGTTTTTTGTGAGGAAGGCTCAAGAGATTTAAAAATATTAACTTATTAACATAATGAAACGATCACCGATCTTAGAGTGTAAGATCGGCGATCTTCGATCTTAGCCTAAGATCGCAGAGGCCTCTGGGGAGGAGCCCAGAGCGGCCTCCGGCACCGTTTCCGGACGGATCCGCTGGATCCGCTGGATCTGGTGACGAATCCCAAACCGGCGCCCTCGCCTGAGACATCCTCACAAAACGGGCCCCGGGGGGGATGCCCAGAGGAGCCCAGAGCGGCCTCCGGCACCGTTTCCGGACGGATCCGCTGGATCCGCTGGATCCGGTGACGAATCCCAAACCGGCGCCCTCGCCTGAGACATCCTCACAAAACGGGCCCCGGGGGGGATGCCCAGAGGAGCCCAGAGCGGCCTCCGGCACCGTTTCCGGACGGACGACCTGACTGCATAACACGCCTGGATATGCCGACGGGGGCGAGGAGGAGGAGGAGGAGGAGGAGGAGGAGGAGGAGGAGGAGGAGGAGGAGGGAGGGGGCAGGCGAGGGAGCCCCGGCCCTGGGGGAGGGGCCCTGAGGGAGCCCTGATGGGCTTCCGGCACCATGGAGAGGTCCTGTGGGGCGGCCGCCCCTTCTTCTCTCGGTCGTTTCCCTCTCGCCCAGAAGCGCGCGCCCCTTCTTCTATATATACAGAAACTCCCGATCAACCGCAGAGCGGCGGATGTTATTGATGACGTGGCGACGGGGGGGCGTGAGTGGACAGAAATATTCGAACCCCAAAGCACCGCCTTTACTGAGATCAACACTGATGTCGGGGACGCGGGGGTGATTTAGAATATCCCTCAAATGTGTAAGGGTTCGAATATATTGTCCATGTACGGGAGCCTGGCAGGGATGGGTGCGTGCGTGCGAATACCCAGATCCCCGACGTTCTGATTTTTTCATGACGTCGCCGCCCAGAGCTTTCGACCCATTCCCCGGGCCCGGGCTTCCATCCCGGACCGTTTTTTGACGGTCCCCAGGCCCGGCGAGGGCCCCCATGGGGCCGAAAATGGTGCAGAACCTCCCGCCGGCCGTGATTGTTGCCTTGCTCGATGGGGGGGCCCGGGGTGAGCCTGGCAGGGCTCGGTGCGTGCGTGCGCACACGGCCGGGTGCGTCCTGCTCGGCGTGCCGCGCCGCCAGGTCTGGCCCACCCCGCCTCGGCGCGACGCACGCCAGCACCGCGTCGATCGACGCGTCTGTCCCTGGCGTCCGCGGTCTCGAGCTGCTCCCCGGGCCCGGGGGCTCCTTTCGATGCCTCCGGGTCGATTCTCGGGACGACATGAGTATGGAAAGAATGGGCACAAAGACCGACAGCAGATCTTGCTCATTTTGGACAGGATTCGCTGTCGGCGTCGCCGCGGATTGTGTCCATTTGAAACAGAAGGCCGCCTGCCAAACAGCGACCGCTGTTGATTCGGGACAATATTTGCTGTTGGGCATTGTGCCCATTCTTTCCGTGCCCATTTCGGGCGTCCAAAGATTCGATGTCGATTTCGGTGGAGCTTCCGATTCCGGTTCGCTCCGACTTCGGATCCCGATATGGGGGCTCTGGTGCTTCAACGGGGGCCTAATTTTTCGACTGCCGATTTCCGCCGATTCGACTTTTCCCGATTCGGCTGCCGATTTCCGCCGATCCGATGGATTTCGATCGCCGATCCGACGTATCGATTCGATTCTGGGCTCTCCTGCCAGCCTCCTGCCCCCTCGGAGCGGAGCGAGGCGCCGACAGCTTTGCAGGGCATGGCGTGTCACCAGGGCCGCCGCCGCGACTCGCTGAGCACCGGTGCCTGGCCCTGGTTCTAAAAAAGGCTTCAACAAGGAATGAGAAATACGAGTAAAGTTCTTGTCGGAAATAAGAAACACAAGCAACTTACAAACATAAGAGTAAGACGATTAACACATATTTTTCAATGATAAAACATGTTCCCGACCCTGTTTCACGTCCTCCCGCCAGGGGGGTCGCGTTGGCACAGTCTGGCTTCGCGAGGGCGAGGGCCTCCCCCTGCGGAAGCTGGTGCTCGAGGCGCAGGTGCGCGGCGAGGACGCGGAGGTACGCCGCAGCCCGCGCGGTGGCCCCGACCCGTCCGAGGGGCAAGTGATGGGCAAATGTTCCACCACCACTACCATATGCAGGACGGGGGAGAAGGGGGGATGAGGAGGTCCTCCTCCTCCTCCTCCTCCTCCTCCTCCTCGTCCTCCTCGTCCTCCTCCTCCTCCTCCTCTTCCTCCTCCTCCTCATCATCCTACCTATGGTAGCGGTGGTGGAAAATGGGCCCATCAGCACGGGGACCAAAAACTCGGAGGAGGAACATCGAAGACGAAGAAGCCCCATAAACATAACCTTTTGGCGCCCCGCGCGGGTTTCTTGGATCTGCGCTAAGCCCGTCTCCGTGGGGCAAAGGAATCCGAAACGGAGCCAAATTGCTTCCATCGATTCGAGACTTTGGAGGTCTAGGGACGGGGCTCCCTGGAGGAGCACAACTGTACAGATCCGCCTCGTGCGTCCCCCTCGCCGCTCCCAGAAAGCGGGAGAAGACAAGAGAACATGGATGGAGTGAGGAGTAAGTAGGTGGACCTGGCCAGTTGTTCGACTCCCAGCTCAGGTTCCAGAGCCAACCTTTCTGTTGGCCCCCTGCCTCGCAGAGAGGGCGCGCGACCACCGCGCGCGTCCCCGTCCACGCCAGCAGCCCCATGTGGGTTGGCGGTCGCGTGTACTTCCTGGCGGAGCTGGACGGGTGCTCGGTTGCACGCAGAATTTTCGTCGTCTCGTTTAAGCACAGTCAAAAACGGCACACCGAGACTGATCATTTGAAGCAGCGGGGATGCTTCATTCTCGGTTCGGGGCGTCCTTGGCATGTGTCATGCTTCCGCTTTCCAAGTGTACCCTTTACTTGGTGCTTTCCAGGTGCCTTGCATCCCTCTACTGCCTTTGACTGCATCCTTTGGGCTGGATTTCAACCCTCGCCAGAAGTGGCATTCAAAATGTTTGGGACTTCACTGTCGAACAAGAGAGAGGGTGAGAGAGAGAGAGAGCGAGAGAACGAGAAACAGGAGGAGGGGACGTGGTCTGGGCGGGTGAGATTCGGCAGTTTCACGATGGCCGAAATTGGAGGTAGGGCGCCAACAAGTACCCAGCACTCCACGCTCATTCTCACCCAATCCCAGGCAATCACGTACAATAGTGGACTACGTAGTCCATGTGGACTACGTCGTCCATGTATGAGGTCTGGGATCAATGTTGTCGAGGGCTGTAGTTTTCCAACTCGTCTGGCCTTCGGAAGCCCTGTTCGTCGTCGTCACGGCAGTACCCAGCTCGACAAACTTGCCAAGATGGGCACCAGGAGGGGTGTCGGCTGATGCCGATCCTCGGCGGATTTTATGGTGGAGGGCGCGGCGAGACGGATGCCTCTGAGAGGGAGGGCGGTTGGCGGGAAGCCCTTTTTGTCTCCTGAGAGGAGTCTCCCGGCGGAGCCGATGCCGTTTCTCGGAGGCTTTTGGTTGAGGGCGCGGCGAGACGGATGTCTCTGAGGGAGAGGGTGGTCGGCGGGAACAGGGAAACGAAAAATAACATAAACACAAAAACCCCGGAGGTCCGCACGGATTTCTTGGATCGGCGCTGGGGCCCCCTGGCGGCGCCTCCGGCGCCGCCCTTGGCGCGCTCCGCGCGCCAGGGAGGGGGGTCCAGCGCCGATCCGAGAAATCCGTGCAGACCTCCGAGTTTTTATGTTTGTGTAATTTTTCGTTCCCCTGGGGAAGCCCCCTGTCTCCCGAGGATCCCACTGGGGGGGTCAGGGCAGGCAGGGCCACCCCGAGATCCCCATTGCATGAGGAGAGCCGGCCCGGTGCGTTTGCCAGTGCGGCCTCGTCCGGCCCGACTCTGTCTGCAGGTGCGCTTGCCAAGAGGGTCTCGTTCGTTCGGCAGCAAATCATGGGAGCCGGGCATGCATTCCGTCTTCAGCGTCGACTAGCGTCGATTAGCGTCTGGGAGTCGATGAGAAGTGCCGATTTAGCGCGGGCTAGCGTCGCTTAGCGTCGATTTAGCTTCGGTTAGCGTCGACCAGCGTCGACTGCGTCGATTCGCAAGAGCCGACAAGATGGCATGGGAGGCTCGCATGAGTTGCCACCAAACGCTGTCCGGGTGGTCCTTCCGCCCCCCATTGAAGCCACCGGCCTCTTTCAACGCAGGATGACGACTAAGGAATACCCATAGGGGCCCGTCACGCAGCAGCGCCTTGGGCGATGACTGATAAGTTGGTTGCAGACCTGCTCGTCGGCGCCATCGTCGCCCTTGAGATAATTTGGATGCCTGTTTAGGGGGGACCTTCCTGGGGCCCACCTTTCGACTCTCGCTCGACTCTCGCTCGACTGTAGCTCGACTCAAGCTCGATTCGAGTCGACAGGCGGACGACCAGCATCGACGCACGAGTGGTTCGAGTGGTTCCCGGAAGGTCCCGAGGGCGAGCCTCCAAGAGCACGGTGGGGGCACTGATCAGGGAATGTGTACCCAGGAGGCCTCAGACCCTGGAGGACTCCGTATCTGATGAGGGCGGTGGTGCCATCCACGGCCTATCCACGATTGGAGTTCCTCCGCCGTGCAGACCCTGAACTCCTCATGTACAGTGAGCGGCTTGAATAAGGAACACTTACTTTTCAAAAGGGGCTCGGTCGTTCCTTAGGTTCACATGCGTTAGTTGCAGTTCCTTATGCGCTATGTATTATTCATCGTTCCTTATTCGTTATTCCGTGGGATAAAAAGGGGTTTCGTTCCTTATGCGTTATTCCTTGGGATAGAAAGGGGCTTCGTTCCTTATTTATCGTTCCTTAGGTCAGGCCGATGACTGCATCCAGCGGCTCCGCGTCCAGAGCCCTCTCTGCATCAGAACCGTTTCCTTGGTCGCCGCCCCGCGTGGGGAGACCCCCACCGCCTGTCTCGCCGCGCCGAGGTGCGGCAACTTGTGGAGCGCGCTGCCCTCGGGGGGCGACCTGCGCCAGCACACCTCCCATCAGGCAGGACCTGGCAAAGTCGTGGGGAAGGCTGACCCTGTGCCGATGATAAAAGAGCACCCCCCCCCTTTCCAGGTTAGAGTTGGTTATCCACGGCCAAGAAGAGTTTGGTCAGGGGCGCGGGGCGCGGAGGCCGAACTTTTTTATCACTGTGTTGTTTTGCTAGACTCGACCGATGAGCTTGTTGTTTTGATCATGGTCGAAGTCAGCGCGAAAGGGTCACTTCGTTCAGATATTCGGTAATTGCGGCTAGCTGAACAAGCTACTAAATACCTCAAAGCTACCACCTGTCGGATTACGGCTCAACGCCTCGAAGTCGGAGTCCATGTTGGCCAAACAGCGATGCCCACCATTTCCAGGGTTACATGTGCGCTGGAGGGAGGGGGCGAATTGGCGTCCTCCTCCTTCGTTCCCCCTCTCCGAAGACGAGGCCGCGTGCTGCAAAACAAGTCACGACGGCGGAAGGTGCTTGGCCAAGTTCGGTGTCCAGGGGCCCTTTCTGGGACCCCCAGACCGTCAAAAAGCGATTCGGCATAGTACAGTGGAAACCCATGGTGATCGTACTCTTACTTATTTATTGTTTTGCCGATCGGTTCGGGCCCTCGCACTCCCTCCCCCCCCCATGAAGTAGGTCTTGGCTGTTTTTCGCGCCTGTCTCAAGCAGGTGGAGCCTCCCCCCTCCCATAGGACGCTCTGATGCAAACAGTCGCGCTAGAGGTCCGGTGCCAGACCCCCCCCCTCCCACCCCCCCTTCCGCCCAATGTCGACACGCCGAACAAGAGAACGCTCACGTGCCAAGAGACACGCTGCTCACCTCCAGGGGGCCCCGCGGTTTCTTGGGTTCCGCTGGTTTTGCTGATTGCGGGAAGTGGGGCGTTCCCGCACCATGGATCAATGGACGGCCTGGGGTCTCACGGCGAGGCCAGCGTCCGAAGAGTTGGACCATCTTGGAGCATAGATGGCCATCTCGAGGCAAGAGTACGCGGGCCACCGCACAGTGCACGGGGAGTGGACGTCCGAGCGATGGCAAGCTGGTGCTCTTCCTGCCCTCCCTGCCCCCCCCCATCCCTCCCCTTCCACGTCCCTTCCCTCCAACGCAAGACGAAGTTCACGAGCGAACTCAAGCGTGGAGCGCGGCATTTGTTACGCTCGGGCCTTCCCCAAAGCTCAACGACAGGAAAGTGCCGCCTCGCACTGTCAGTTCCTGCTGCCCAGCTCCCCAAGGAAGGAAGGAGGTGGCCCAGGAGCAGGGAGCCGATGGAGCTTCGAAGGCACCAGGCTAGAGCCGGGTCGGCCAACCCATATAGCACGCGATGGTCCTTCTCCTCATGTCCTTCCTGCCTGCCTTGTCACCGATCCCTTCATCCTGGGGCGGGGGTGGGGCATTCAGAGCACTCGCGCCCCTGCCCCGGTCAGGGACTCTACGCGCGCAACGCATCGCACGACGGCCACGACAGCATTGTCTACCAGCGCGGCGGTGACATCTGGTGCCTTGCCGTCTCCTCCTCCTCTCTTTCTCCTCCTCCTCCTCCTCCTCCTCCTCCTCCTCCTCCTCCTCCTCCTCCTCCTCCTCCACCCTCTATTAGGCGGGCTCCCCGCAAAGTCTGGTGATTCCCCCAGTAGGCCTGAGTCGTAGGCTCCGAGCATCGACCCTAGTGGGCCTCGAGAGCTGGTGTCACGCAGCCCTGCTGGAATTATGACCGAGACCCCCACAACGTTTAACTGCAGCGGTTATCAGCCCCCGACGGTTCACCCACCCCTGCTCCTCCTCCTCTTCCTCCGTCTTCCCCCGAAGTCGAATTTCACATCCCTGAGACCACGTGGCAAGAGTGCAATATGCGAGAGTCGGCATTCACGCCGTGTCGTTATTATACACTCTACAGCTCTGTCCTCCGTTCCGTCGCCTCTTGGCTCAACCCGCCTACAGCAGTGCAGGCACTCTCTTACTTGTACACGTCCTCGGTGCACTACCGAGCTCACCATTCGGTTTCATCATCATGTACATGTTTTTCCTGGCATCGCCCGTCGCGATGGTACCAGGCTTCGTATCGATGTAGTGCACCGGCAGGAGCGTCAGAGGCTGACTCCTGATCCTGACGTTCTGTTAGCTGCTGATCTCCTCGGCCAGGATACATATGCTGCTGTCAGCTCTGGTGAGGCACTAGTGCATGAACAACGGGCATCGTCAACGCAGGCGTCTGCTGGAATCCCTCGGCAGGCATGAGGAGGACCGCCCAGAGAAAACATACAGTGTTCTTCGCAGCGAAGAGCCATCTTGGAGGAGATGGTTGCGTTACATACTTCATATTCGAGATGGGGTTTCAGTTAATCGCGAGCAGTTGCAGATGTCTCTGATCTTTTGGGCAGAGTGGTAGCCCAAGCTCAGAGACGGGCGGTCACGGATGCCCTGAACGAGTTCGGCTCTCGGATGGGATCGAGCGCCGCCTTGGGAACGACTTCGCCGCAGCATGCGTCAGGAGCCAGCAGTCCGCCACAAGATGGAGGTCGACGGCCGCATACCATCTATCAACCATGGGAGCCCTTGGGTCACAACGTGGAGCGCTGGAGGAAGCTGTGGGCAACCTCCTCCCTCGATGCGGCGGCCCTGCAGGAGGCCTTCCGACGGGCGCGGGAGCGCGCCGCAGTGGAGCCACCCCCCCAGGGCTCGAGCGTAACGGCATGTTGGCAACTTCGCGGACCGTTTTCGTTGTCATGTCTGTTGCAGAGCAAGGGCGGGGCGAACACGGAGCGAGGGATCGCGAAAGTGAAGCGCAGTTCACGCCCGTTTCCCCTCCTCGCGCACGCCTGCCGCGCCGCCCTTGGCATCGCTCTGGCGTGTGCATGTTTCCTCCGGCGAGGACCATCGAGGAGCATCCTTGAGCATTTGGCGAAATAACCACGCACGAAACCGACAAAAACACGGGGAATGGACGTCCGAGCGATGGCCAGGCGCGCGCACGCCGCCTGCCTGCTGCCGTTTTTGGGGGTCCAGGGTGGGACCCCTTGCCCCGCCCACCCGCCCCGTGCATCTCGTGTCCCGCCCTTGCTTCCGCGGCGCCGCTGCGCCCGCCGCTGTGCGGGGGCCGGGGGCGGCCTCGGAGCTTCGGTCACCGCCTGCCCAGGATAATAAAGCACCCCCTCCCCCTTAAGTCGTTAGAGTGTTCTATCGTCGGCCTAGAAGGGTGTGTGGGGTGGGGGAAGGGAGCGGCGAGCCAACGGTGTCGGGTGCCAGGTCTCAGAAGGATGCGTGTCTCGTGTTGCTTCTTGGGGATGGGAGGCGCCCCTGGTCCGACTGCGCCGTCTCGGGGCCACGGCCGACACGGTGGAGCGGGAGGGAGAGATGAGCAGAGCTGGAGGTGCTTTGGGCCAGGAAGCCGGCTGAGTCGCTCCCCCTTCTCTTCCTGGCCCTCCCGCGTTTCAAGCACCACCAGGTATACCTCTGCTGACTGCGGCCGTCGATGTCTCGGATGTTGTAGCTCTGCCACGAGGGCCCGCCAGGCCGTGTGGAGAGACACCCCGTGTTTTCAACATTCTAGTGTGAATCGGGAGGTCTTGGGGTTTTCGTCGGGGGTTAAGCTGCTCATTGCGGGGGGAGTGCATGAAACCTATCAGATACGCCTGCATAGTGCCCTCAAGCCTTGGTGTTGTTGCTGATCCGGGTACTTTGCCAGTCAGCTGATCAGAGGTATTGGGCATGAGTGCCTCAAGACCGCGAACTCCACTCGAGGTGGGTATATATCCAGATTCTGCCATGGGCAACGGCCCAAGGTCCAGAGTCGGGCTGAACTCGATCGTCGGGATTCTTAGTTTTCTTCGGATTCGCTTTGCGACTGGTCTCGCTCACTCACCCTCGTACAGAAGTGCTCGTCTCCCTCTCCCGCCTGCCTCCTCCCTCGTAACCCATCGCCTCCCTCACCCACACCCCTCCTCCATCCCACCACCCTCGGCGTTCGTCCACCCTCGCCTCCACCTCCCCCCCTCCCTCCCTCTGTTTTCCCTTTGCGGCCGAGGGGGGGATGGGTCCAAGTCTGGAAGCCCCCCTCTCAGCACCAGAATTTTAAGCTGCTTGGCATCGCTCGGACGTGTGCATTTTTCTTCGGCGAGGGCCATCGACGAGCATCTTTGGATCATCTTGCGGAAAAATACCGAGCTCGACACAGGCACGGGGAATGGACGCCCACGCGATGGGAGGGATGGGACTGCTCCAGTTCCCACGAGGGCCCAGCATGGTGTTGTGGTCCCAGGGCCCTCGGACCCTCGGGCGCTCCATGGACGCCCGCTGGATTCCATGCTGTTCAGTTTGCGACGCTCCGGGATGCACGCCACGTCTCTCGAGCCACTGCCCAGCGAGCCCTGACTGTCGAAATCCCGACCCGACCCGACCTCCCCTCCCCCCCCCCTCCCCCCCTCCTCCCCCCCTCCTCCCTCCCCTCATCCCCTCCCCCCCTCATCCCCCCTCGGTGCTACACCGTCTCCGCCGGGAGGGCGGAGCGCCTGCCGGTGAGGCTGAGCACGGCGCAGGGCGCTCGCCTGCCGCGCTTCTTCAAGGCCTCCGACCACTACGAGTTCTGCTGTCTGCACCCCGACGGCCACCAGGGGGGGCAACGCCAGGGGGCGGGGGGGGTAGGCTCAGCTGGGACCGAGCGATATCGGAAGCTTTCGCGGCCCAGGCTGGTTGCCATCGGCTGCGCCTCGTCGCGAGCCGTGTGGGGGTGCCGGAATCGCCCCGAGCGACCGCCAGGGGTATGGCCCCGCCAGAGGCCCGAGGCATGGCCCCCCATCCAGGGAGCGGAGGCTCAGGGGCAGCGAGAGGGCGGGGGATAGGCTCAGAGGAGGACGCATCGGCCCCCCATCGCCCACTCATCGCCGATGGGGGCCCGACAGGCCACCCCGCCCGGGAGGGTGCGGATTTGCCATCGGGGGCCTCTCGCCGATGCATCGGCGATGCAGCGCCGAGTCCAGGTCGATGCGTCACCCCCTCCCCTGAGCAGGCCCCCCCCGCACCCAGACCCCCGACGTCATGATCTGTTCGGTGACGTCGACCCCCAGAGGTCTCGAAAATCGAGAAGCACCTCCCGTCGTGATTTTTGTAGATCGCTCGAGGGGTTATGGGCATCGTGCCCCGCCAGGCCACCACCTCGTGGCCGCCTGCCGCGGCCGCCTCTTCGAGCTGGCCCTCAACGAGGGCCCCGCGCTGGAGGTCTGGGCCCGCGCGCTTCCCTCTCGAGACGTGCCTCCCCCCCTCCTCCTCGCCTCCCCCTTCCCCCTCCCCCTCCCCTCCCGTCCCCCTCCTCCTTCTCCTCCTCCTCCTCCTCCTCCTCCTCCTCCTCGTTTTTTGACGTTGCTCGGACTTGGGTGCACCACCCTCCTCCTCCTCTCTCTCCTCCTCCCCAGTCCCCCCCCCCTTTCCTCCTCCCCCTCCTCCTCCTCCTACTCCCCCTCCTCCTCCCTCCTCCTCCTTCTCTCCTCCTTTCTTCTGACGTTGCTCGGACTGGTGTGCTAGCCCCTCCTCCTCCTCCTCCTCCTCCTCCTCCTCCTCCTCTCCTCCTCTTCCCTACTACTCCTATCTTATTCCTTATTAGAATATACTCCTACTCCCCCCTCAGGCCGGCCATTAGGGGCCGCATCCGGGTGGTCCCATCCTAACCTGTAAAAAACAATACAAAATCAACATTTTTCTTATTTTTTCCTCTCGACATGGACGTCCTGTCGTCCACGGCGATAATCCATTGCAAAAAATACCACAAAGAGCACACGCGCGCGTTCATGTCAGAATCCTACCGAACACCGTGTGTTTGCAAGCATTTCAACATAAAAACATCAAAAACCCAATGCTTTTTCACAAAAATTGTACAAATTTCCCGCCCGGGCTCTCTTGCTGAAATCATAGGAAAACCATAGGAATCTTAAGAATTCTGTCAAATCCAGCGATTTCACGTCATCGCGCGGTGCACTCGCGATGCTCTGTCATGCACCCAGGCCGCGAATCCTGTGCAAAAAATA